GAGAAGAAAATAAAATTCCCAAGGATGAGGGAGCAGTCAGGGGTTGGAGCAGGAAGAATCCGACTACCTTCTGCTACTTTCTGTCTTTAACTCAACAGGAGTTAAGGCCAAAGATGTGAAGGGACTCTTACCTCTGATGATACTAATGGTGACAATTTTTATGGTGCTTCTGTTCTGGGAAAATGAGCTCAGTGATGAAGTGACGATGTTAACCTTAGAGCACTTGCACGTGGACTACCCCCGGAACGACGCTTCTGTAAGGTACTGCAACTTCATGATCACACAAAGAGTCATCAAAGACCCTGACCACACGTGCAAAAAGGAGCATGTCTTCATCCACGAGAGGCCTCGAAAAATTAATAGTATTTGCACTTCTCCCAAGAAAGTGGCTTGCCAAAACCATTCCACCATTTTCTGCTTCCAGAGCGAGACAAAATTCAAAATGACAGTCTGTCAGCTCATTGAAGGCACCAGATATCCCGCCTGCAGGTACCACATTTCCCCCACGGAGGGGTTTGTTCTTGTCACTTGTGATGACTTTGGACCAGTTCATTTCCAGGGATATGTTGACTAACATAAGATCAGCACTGAGTCTGAGATCCTCTCTTCTCTCTCAGCAGCACTGGGGTGGTTGTCCCTGAGGCAGACCTGAACTGTGGACATGGAGTAATATCTTGAGTGAAATGGGTAACCACTGGCAATTAATTTATCCTTCCAGTATTGCTGAGTTGAAATCGTTTTATTCTGCTTCAATAAAAAAAATCTTTACTGAGTTATAAACTTTGCATGTGTTTACATTTTTTGTCCCTCATTTTTGGGTCATTTGATCAGAGCCAAGAGTGGTTCTGAGGCAGGACTGGGATTAAGGTAAAGTGAAGGAAACAATCACTGTAGGTGCAAAATTTATGGAGGCACCAAAGCCCAGTAATCTTGATAAATAATATTTTAATTGAATACATTAAAAAACTAAAATTAACATAAAAATTCTTGATGCAAAAAAATGTCTAAATCTTAAAGATCCCATCTGACAGGGCTGGGATTAGTGTCAGGGTCAGATACTGTTGTACTAGTGCAGGGTCAGATACTGTTATTTAAAATTTTAATATTTGTTCATCAGGAATTACTTTTCATTAAATTTATTTTTTTTAATGTTGCATTAAAGCATTATTTATCTTGATCACTAAGTTTTGGGGAACCCTCTTAATTTTGGGCCTCATTCACCTCACCCTAATCCCAGCCCTGATCCTAAGAGTAGAAGCAACTGGGGTCACCTCATAGGGTCTTTTCTAAAGATGCTACATACAACTTGAGGTACATCTGTTCCTGTCTAGCAGCTCCCTCTCCGACTTTAAAGAAAGCAAAAAGGAGATCAGAGAAAGCCTGACTTGACTGGTCAGAAACAATTTCCCTTAAAGACTATGTAGAGTAATGGACAAGTATTTCCCAGGGAGGCTCTGAGACTCTCAGAGCTCAGTGTATTTCCTCTTTGCATCTCCAGAAGGACCCAAGAGAATTTGGAGGCAGACTAACCCCTTTTCCCTTTTAATTCTTACAGCTGAACTCATCATTTACTTCCCCCATGTCCAGCCATGGCCGTGGTTCCTACAGCTGCAGGGAAAAGGAAGAGAGGAGGCGAAAGAGAGGCTCCTCATTCTGGGAATTTCATTGAGTCCTGTTCTTCTCTGTTCATTGGTTTCCTTATCTGTGACATGAGAGGCTTGAACTAACCCTTGAGGTTCTTTCTAAGTCTATTACTCCACAATTCGATTTCTTAGATAGTGTAGAAAATAGCTTTGCTGGAGGGGAGGCCTAGTATTGGGAAGTGGTCAGAAATAAGTGGCATTTGGCTAGTAAGGGACAGATTATGGGGCCACTAATTCTGAGCTATGATGTTTCAATCCTGTATGTGAGAGTAGAGACTCATAGAGTGAGCTAGAGCAGGCATGAGTGATTCAGAAGATTGAGAGGGCACTTCCTGTCCTGCACTTTGCAGATGAGAGACCTTAACTGTTGCATTGCTTGCTTGGATTTAATTCAAAGTCATATCAAAGAGGGAGGTACACCTATGCTAGCTGTTAGCTCTCTCTTTTGTATGCATCCAGTTTTCACTGATTGATTAGATTTATGGGGGAGGAGGGTGACAATCCTTAGTAAAGGACACTTTGCCACCTTGTAAGTAGGCAAAACTTACCCATCTCATGGCTTCTTCTATCTGGGGTGGCCTTTTCTCAGCCAAGTTTCATTACCAGCTTCTCTGTGGGAATCCTGTTGTCTTTGCTGTCTTCGTGGAATTTGGGGTACCACCAAGTGAGCAGAGATCTCAGCATCTGAATAGAAGTTGAGCAGAAACAGGTGGTTCCTAGAATATGATGTGTTGGGTCGTGATAGCATCACTTCATTAGAAATAGGTGATATGTGTCCTTTAGATCCCTGCTTCTATTTTCTGAACTCTGATTCCCTTTCTTACTCCTTTCCCTAGGCTTTATTGTCCTTTCCTTCCTTCTCCATGCTTTTTCTTCCCTTCCTACCTCAACTTCTCTTCTAATAAAAAACAAAATCCTACAGCTAAATGCATTCCCACTTAAGTGTAAGTGACTGAGACTGTCCAATGGAATCTACCCTCAGAGCGTTTTTATTCAATAGGAATCGAAACCCAATTCGAATTAATTGCGACATTGCAGATATTTGTAGTTTGAGAAAAGGGGAGTATACATTTTTAATGAGCAGCTAGCAGTTTGAAATCAAACCCAGGCAGCTGTAACTTCTGCCAAGTTGCAATACATATTTCAGAAAGCCTGGGCATGTCTGCACTGCTCTTCCTGTTTATTTTTCTCCTCAT